TGTTCAGTTGCTCAGTCATGTCCGACTCTTTGAGACCCCATGGACTGCAGCACGCCAGGCTTCCCTGTCCTTCACCACTTTGCAGAGTTTGCTCAAACTCATATGCATTGAGTCGGTGATGCCATCTAACCGTCTCATCCTCTGTCACCTCCTTCTCAGTTATACGTGTGTGTATGGTGGTTTATTTGCTAAGTCATGTCTGACTCTTGCGACCCCATGGACTGTAGCCTGCCAGGTTCCTCTGTCCATGGAATTCTCCAGGCAAGACTACTTGCAGTGGGTTACTGTTTCCTTCTCCAGGGGATCTTCCCGACCCAGGAATCGACCTGGGTCTCCTGCATTGCAGGCAGATTCTTTACTGACTGATCTGTGAGTGGAATATGCATGTATGTGTGTATATCACACACATATATATATTCTTTTTCATGTTCTTTTCCGTGATGGTTTATCCCAGGATGCTGACTATAGTTCCCTCTGCTGTACGGCAGGATCTTATTGTTTCAAGATCTGTTCTGTTAAAAATGCATGTTCCAAAGAACACTTGTAGGTAATACAAATGGATATGTCCCTATAAATCCAGGAAGCTGTAATACTGTGCCATCTGTTGATGGTGAATGGAGGGGGTCAGAGCGATTGTGTGTTGTCTGTGGCCTAATTAGGAAAAGCAGCCCTATCCCTTTGTGGGTGTGGAAGAGAGGGAAACTGGTTTTTTTTTTTGTCAAGTGTTAAATCACCAACCTGGCTTCCTGTTGCCTACACTTGGTGTGATTGTGGTTTGTAACACTTGTTGGCATCTGGGGAACTCTGATGTACATTGTTTCATGTACATCTCTCTCCTTGACCACACACACCCAATCCCAGCTCATGCTGGAACGTGGAGCCCCCGGGGACCCCGATTGTATGTCACATCCCTTCAGAGGGGACATCATAGAGTTTTACAGTCCTCTGACTTCTTCCTGGCAGTGGCTGAAACTGCAGTGAATAATCAGATTAGAAAAGAAAAAGCTTTCTGTGGAAATTTGGGAGCAGAATTCCCATTAATTAAGAAAAAAATACCCAGCATATTTTTCTCAGAGCCCTTCGTATAGACATGTTTAGCCTTCATTGTTTAAATATAACCCTGCTAACCCAAGGGCACGCTATCTATGCCCCCTTCTCTCCCATTTGGACATAAAGCCTGTGATTGTTGATTGTTCTGGTTGGATCATTTGGAAATGAGATTTCAGTTTAGTAGAGTATTTCCATTACAGGGTAACGGGCCTTTTTAATTTTGGACTTTTATAAGCTAGGAAAACATTTACATTTCTTCCCGGTTTTCCCTTTGCAGAGTCCTGAATAGACAAGGCGGATTCATTAGAGACTACATCATGAAATGTTGCATCTCTTTATTGGTGAGTCATGAAAGTTCAGGAAAAGAACACAAAAGTAGGCATTTATAGTATGAAACAAGCCTTTGTCAAATTATGTATGTGGTGGTTTTAGCTGACCTTGGAAGTTACATAACACTCTGTATGTGCTTTTATACCCCAACGTGGTCTATAAAAGTGATGATAATGCATCGGCTTTACAAAATACCTTCGTGGACACCCAGCGCAGCTCTCTCGCTGCGTCTCTCAGCAGGGGAGAGAGATCACTGTGCCCACCTCCCCATCCCTGTTCTTTTTTGTCCACTTACATAATCACTTCTTGCAGATATCTCCTTAGACTGTTTAAATTCCAGGTGACTCAGTCTTTTGTGCATTTAGATTTCATTCAATCATAATACATTTCAAGTACCTCTTTCCCTTTTATTATTCTTTTTTTTTTTTTTCCTATTATTGCCTTTCAGTTCCTCCAGTTTCTTTTACTTCAGTTTGGGATAACATTTTTTTTTTTTTTTTGGCCACATGGCATGTGGGATCTTAGTTCCCTGATCAGGGATCAGGGATCAGACCTGTATCCCTTGCACTGGAAGCACAGTCTTAACCACTGGACTGGCAGGACCGTCCCTAAGGATAGCATTATCGATACATTTGAGGGTCATCAGTAATTAGAGCAATGAGCCGTGGGAGAGCACAGATCTTACAGGGCGGAGAGAAGAAGGGTAGGTCTGAGGTCAGGTTGAGCTCGGAGACAAGTGGGCATCCTAGGGGCGTGGCTGCCATGCTGGGCGAGTCACGTCATTTCTCCCCTGCAGGCCCCCCTCGTCTGTTTTTCGTTTCTGTTCAGCAGTCTCGGTAGACAGCACTGGGGCAGAGCCTGACCCAGGTGGGCCACCCTTAGGAACTGACGCTGGGGCTGAGGCCTGGGGTGGGCCCAGCAATGCTGAGAGGTGGGGAGGGAATTTCAGGCGCAGAGAAGGGTTCAGCACGTTAGACATGAGAAACTAGAGAGATCTCTTACTCAACGCCTGCTCTCAAGGTACTGACAGTTTAGGCTGGTTGTCAAGGCGGTAAGCTTGATTCACTGCCACTTCCTGCCTTTCTGAAACTGATCCTTCCTGTAAGCCCCAACCTCCAGCTGCAGTTAAACTAGGTGTGTCTTCAACTTGCACTTGGGCTCCAGATTACGTTGAAGGACCTGTTTCACTGATGCCTTGGGCCAGCCTCAGCTAATGTCTGCAAGAGACACCAATCTGGTATGTTTGTTAACAAATAACCACACAAGAAAAGGGTCAGGTTGAAGCTGAATCTGGCCTCTGTACCCCTATACTAAATTAAATTTAAGACAGAGAGTTTTGGGTGAAGTAGAAAAGACCCTGATGCTGGGAAAGATTGAAGGTGGGAGGAGAAGGGGACAACAGAGGATGAGATGGTTGGATGGCATCACCGACTCAATGGACATGAGTTTGAGTAATCTCCAAGAGTTGGTGATGGACAGGGAGGCCTGGCATGCAGGGGTCCATGGGGTCGCAAAGAGTCGGACACGACTGAGCGACTGAACTGAACTGAACTGAAGACAAGAATAGCTTTATTGCTATGCCAGGCAAAGGGGGGACACAGTGGGCTATGTCCTCAAAGCTATGTGTCCCAGTGTGGAGGGGCTAATGAGGAGTTTCATAGCAATGGTTCAAAGAGGGTGTGGTCAGCTCGTGGACATTCTTCTGATGGGTTGGTGGAGAGGTTAAGTGGGAGTCAGCATCATCAACCTTCTGCTTCTAACGCGTCTGGAGTCTGTGTGCTTGTGGGCAGCACCCCACTCTCACCTGGAGGGGCTTTCCATATCTGCAAAACAGCACAAAGATACTCTGGTGTGTACTGATGGGGAACAAAGACCCTGCTCCAAGGCTGCACTATTGTTTCCCTTGACTGTTTGTTTCTCCCTGGTTTTGTGCTTGAATCTGACCAGTTGGAGCTCAGGGAAGGTCATGGAGGCTGAATGAAGGTTATTTCCTATAATTAAAGAAATGAGGGACACAGAAAAGCTTTGTTCCTAGGACCCCATAGGGCCCTCCTCAGTATCGGTGTTAATATAGACTAGATGCTCATCCAATGAGCGTATTTCTTAGGTTGTGATTTTCTCTGTCAGATGCAAATGATATTCAGACGTCAGCCCTGCAACAGAAGTTGACATGCTGATTCCTAGTTATTTGCTCTCCCTTTTATTATCTTTCTAAAACTTTAGCCTCAGTTTTACAATTTAGCTCAGCCCTGAAGGGAAGCTGCTTACTCTGTGTGCTGCGTTAGACTTAATTTGCATGGAATATTATTAACGGAGTCTGTAGGCTTATTTCCCCATGTATGCATGGGACCACATAACCATTCTGCCAACATTAAGTTTTAAATGTTTTCATTTAAAATATCAGCCTTCAAGGGGAATATCCAAGACCTAGCCGAAGAGAAAATTAGGCTTATGACATTATCATACAAAAAAGAGAGCATTATCATAAAGTGGAAAGAAAAATAGTAAAATAAAAATCTTGCCAACTGCATATGGTAAATAAAAAAGAATGATTGCGGCTATTACTAAATATTAAAATCACCAACTCTAACTTGCAAGAATTAAGGTTTTTCTTGGAAAAGAATAAGATGATTTGGTTGCATATGAACTCAGGAAGAGAGCCTTGAAGGCAAAACAATTTCCTTAAGACATTTTTAATGAAAACAGATGATGAAATATAAGTCATTGCTTTCTTTAATGAATGATACGTCTGAAACCATTGTCTCAAGGACTCCAATTTGCCTATGAAAGTATCCATATCCAAGTGGTATAAAATGATGCATTAAGTAATCAAGGTAAAAAAACTTCATAAAACCTCTGAGAGGAAGTACTCTTATGCTATTCTTGTTGAGTAGAGAATTCTAGAAGGATGTTACAAAGATAATTCTCCAGGCCAGAATACTGGAGTGGGTAGCCTTTTCTTTCTCCAGGGGACCTTCCTAACCCAGGGATCGAACCCAGGTCTCCCACATTGCGGGCAGATTCTTTACCAGCTGAGCCACAAGGGAAGCCCTACAAAGATCTAGTAAACCTCAATTATCATGAACACTGATTTTGGCCAGATAGGTTGTGTTGTGCAGGGTATTAAACATAGCAAACCAGTGTGTCTTTATGGACCTTTTCAGATTCAAAAAAACAGAATATAAAAAAGTCAGCCGTTTTCTATAAAATGGACCCAATACTATGCAAACGTGCTGCTTATTTCAGAGGTATTTTCTCTGGGGTTCTGGCATTTCTGAAACATCCTTCCTGGGAATAATATCATGAAATTTGAGAAATTGTGTTAGAGGCCCTCTAAACTGGTTCAAAGAACAGGGGAGTGAAAAGACGAGGAGGAAAGTGGAGAGATGCTGGATGCCTCACAGCTGCTCCCTTCTGCCCATTCCTTATTTATTTGGCTGCACTGGGCCTTCGTTGCGGCATATGCAGGGTCTTCTTCCCTAACCAGAAATCGAACCTGGGCCCCCTGCGCTGGGAGTGTGGAGTCTTAGCCACTGGACCACCAGGGAAGTCCTCTTTCTGCCCATCCTTTAATGAAGTGACTGCAGTAAGCCCAGGAGATGGAGCTGGCCTCAGAGGTGATGGGGGCAGTGGGGAAGCGGGTGTTCGCCTGGTGCTCTGGGTAAGGCTTCTGCACCAGGCAGGCGGGCAGAGAGGCAGGCTGGTTCCTCGCAGGCCCTTGACTCTGACATGCTGTGGCTTTGTGCGGGCATCACTAATGGGGAGGAGGCTCAGACAAGGGCACAGGCTCAGGCCCAGGTGTCCTGGGGAGGGGATGGGGGCCCCCTTCTCCCTCCCCTCCGCCTGTTCTGCTTTGCCCTGAGAGCTGCCCCCTGGGAACAGGGCTGTGCCATGAAACACACAGTGAACAGGTCTCATTTGTTACTGAAATCAGGGGAGCACAGCGGCTTAATTGACCCGCAGTTATTTAGACATCAGTTGTGCTTAGCGCAGCTGAGGCTTCTCTGATGGCTCAGTGGGTAAAGAACCCGCCTGCAATGCAGCAGACAGGGGTTCGATCCCTGAGTCGGGAAGGAAGTGGCAACCCACTCCGGTACTCTTGCCTGGAGAATCCCACGGACAGAGGGGCCTGGCGGGCTACAGTCCACAGGGTTGCAAGGGTTGGACACGACTGAGCGATTATACTACCCCACCGCCAAAGCAGCTGAGGACTTCCAGGGAGGGAGTTCTGACCCAGCTGATGCCTGACCACCGCTACAGAATTTGAGATGTTTTCACCATTTCATTAACTTGTGTATGACAACTGTTTTAGTCAACTCAGGCTCCCGTACAAAATACTATAGACCAGAAGGCTTCACCAGCAAATGTTTACGTTCTCGAAGGTCTGGTGGCTGGGAGTCCACGTGCCCGCACGTGGGTTTCCAGCAGGGACACTCTTCCCGGCTTGTGCTTCTGCCTTCCTGCTGTGTCTTCACATAGGTGGGTGAGGGAGAGACAGAACAGACAGACAGACACACACACACAGACGCACACTCACACTACAGGCTTTCTGGCGTCTCTTCTTACAAAGGCAATAATCCCATTATTCGGACTCCACACTCATGGCCTCCTAACCCTAAGGAGGTCCTTTCCAAAGGCTCCATCTCCAGATACCCTTACACTGGGGTTAGGCAGTCAGCATATGAATTTTGGGTGAACACAATTCAACTTTTTAGCCAAAGCTACTTTATATGTATAAAAGTAATATATTTTTAAGATGAATGAATGTGACATAAAATAGCCTCCGTGTATTTTAATTTTAAGGTACAGTGAGTTTCCCAGTTTATTTTGGGTTTGTTAAATCTCAAGGAAACAAAAAACAGACTCACACAGCCCTGGAGGCCCCCTCGTGAATTCTGATCACAGACCTTCATCTGGGTGGCGTCACTGGAGGCCGTTTTCCTGCCAAAGTGTGGGACCAGGAGCAGGGCGCTGACGGTGGGCCTGGACAGGATTCTGGCCCTTGGGAAGGGCTCGCTGTAGCAAGACTTACCCACAGGAGCTTTGAATGCTGTGAGCGTTAATCTAGACAGCAGGGTTTGAACCAGTATCTGACTCCCGAACCCATTTTTAACAAGGTATGTGTGCTAGCTTCCTTTTTTAAAACAGTTTTTTAAATGTTTATTATTTAAGAAATTTATTTAGCTGCACTGGGTCTTAGTTACGGCATGTGGGATCTAGTTCCCTGATCAGAGATCGAACCTGGGCCCCTGTGCGTTGGGAGCAGAGTCTCAGCCATTGGACCACCAGGGAGTCCCCAGCTGTCTTGCTGTTGATGGCTAATTTTGTTCTTATTTCCCCCCAGCTTTATTGAGATGTAATTGACTTACAACATTGTGAATGTTTCAAGTGTACAACATTTGATTTGATGGATTTATATATGGCAAAATGATTGCTACCATAGTATTAGCAACTATGTATGAGCAACAACTCCATCTTGTTACATAATTACTATTTCTTTTTTGTGGTGAGACTACTGAATATCTATTCTCTTTGCAGCATTCAAATATATGACACAGTATTACCTGCAATCATCATGCTGTGCGTTAGATGCCAAGAACTTGTTAATCTTATAATCTTAGATATATCACATCTTATTTATCCATTTATCTGTTAATGGATACTTAGATTGTTTTCATATCTTAGGTATTATGAATAATTTTGCAAAGAATATGGGGTTGCAGATAGCCCTATATGATCTTGATTTTTAACTCCTTTGGATAAATACCTAGAAGTGGATTGCTGGATCATATGTTACTTCTGATTTTACTTTTTTGAGGAATTTCCAGAGTGGCTTTCATAATGGCTATACCAACTTGCCTTCCCACCGATGGTGCATTAGGGTTTCCTTTTCTCCACATCCTCCCAACATTTGTTATTTGTGTTCTTTTTGATGATAGCCATTCTCACTGGTGTGAGGTATACCTCATTGTGGTTTCAATTTGCATTACCCTGATGATTAGTGAATTCAATCACCTTTTCATGTAATTATTGGCCATTTGGATGTCTTCTTTGGAAAATAAATTCTCCCACTAACTTTTAAACTGGATTGTTTAGTTTTTGCTCTTGAGTTGTATGAGTTCTTTATATGTTTTGGATATTAAGCCCTTATCAGATAAAAGAAAAGTGCAAGTGAAGTTGCTCAGTTGTATCTGACTCTTTGCAACCCCATGGACTGTAGCCTACCAGGCTCCTCCATCCATGGGATTCTCTAGGCAAGAGTACTGGAGTGGGTTCCATTTCCTTCTCTAGAGGATCTTCCTGACCCAGGGATTGAACCTGGGTCTCCTGCATTGCAGGCAGATGCTTTACCGTCTGAGCCACCAGGGAAACCTCTTATCAGATATATGATTTGCAAATATTTTCTCCCATACAGTAGGTTGCTTTTTCATTTTGTTGATATGCAGAAGCTTTTTAGTTTGATGTAGTCCTACTTTTTTTTTTTTTTAATTTGGCTGCAGGGCATGTGGAATCTCAATTCCCCAACCAGGGATTGAACCCATGCCCCCTGCATTGGAAGAACGAAGTAAGTCCTAACCATTGGACCACTGGGCAAGTCCCTATTCCCACTTATTTGCTTTTGCTTTTGTTGCTTGGGCTTTTGGTGACATGTCCAGGAAATCACTGCCAAGACCAATGCCAAGGGGCTTTTCCTTCTGTGTTTTCTTCTAGAAGTTTTATATCTTAATATCTTGTGTCTTGTGGTATAAGATTGATATCTTATATCTTGTGGTTTTGTATCTTAAATTTAAGTCTTGAATTCATTACAAGTTCATTTTTGGGAGTGGTGCACATTCTTCCTCTTGTTGTTATCCGGGTTTCCCAGTACCATTTATTGAAGAGACGGTCCTTTCCACGTTGTGTATACTTGGTATTTTGCCAAGTATTAGTTGACCATATATGCGTAGATTTATTTCTGGCCTCTCAAGTCTGCTCCGTCGGTCTCTGTGTCTATTTTCATGCCAGTACCATACTGTGTTGATAACTATGGCTTTGCAGCACAGTTTGAAATCAGAAACTGTGGTGTCTCCAGCTTTGTTCTACTTTTGCCATAATTGCTTTGACCATTTGGAGGTCTTTTGTGCCTCCATACAGATTTTAGGGTAGTTTTTATATTTCCATGAAAAATACTATTGGAATTTTGATAGGAATTGCTTTGAGTCTGTAGCTGGTTTTGGGTCACAGGAATATTTTAACAATATTAATTCTTCCAATCCATGAACATGGGCTGTCTTTCCACTTATTTTTATCTTTTTTCAATTGCTTTCATCAGAGTCTTATAGTTTTCAATGTACAGATCTTTCACCTCTTTGGATAAGTCTATTACTAAGTGTTTTATTGTTTTTGATACTGTTGTCAATGGGCTTGTTTTCTTTATTTCTTTTTCAGGTGTTTTATTGTTAGTATATAAAATCACAACTGTTTCCTATATTTTGATTTTGTAACCTGCAGTTTTCCTGATTTAGCTGATTACTTTTAGCAATTTCTTCATGGAGTCGTTAGGATTTTTAAAATATAAAATCGTGTTATCTGCAAACAAAGACACTTCTACTTCTTGCTTTCATTTCTTTTTCTTACGTGACTGCCCTGCTAGGACTTCCATTACTGGGTTGAATAGGAGTGATATCAGTGGACACCCTTTTCTTGTTTCTGTTGTTACAGGGAAAGTTTTCACCATTGAGTATAATGCTGGCTATGAGTTTATCACATATGGCCTTATGTATGTTCTTTCTGTACTCAGTTTGTTAGGAGTTTTACCATGCACACATGTTGTATTTTTGTCAAATGCTTTTTCTCCATCTATTGCTGCTGCTGCTGCTAAGTCGCTTTAGTTGTGTCCAACTCTGTGCGACCCCATAGACGGCAGCCCACCAGGCACCCCATCCCTGGGATTCTCCAGGCAAGAGCACTGGAGTGGGTTGCCATTTCCTTCTCCAATGCATGAAAGTGAAAAGTGAAAGTGAAGTCGCTCAGTCGTGTCCCACTCTTCGCGACCCCATGGACCGCAGCCTATCAGGCTCCTCCGTCCATGGGATTTTCCAGGCAAGAGTACTGGAGTGGGTTGCCATTGCCTTCTCCGCTCCATTTTTTAGATGAATCTATAATTTTTATCTTTCATTCTGTTAATGTGGTGTATCACATTGGTTGTCTTGTGTATGCTGAACCATCCTTGGCATCCCAATAAATAAATCCCACCTGATCATGTTGTGTATTAGTTTTGGGAGAATGCCACAAAAAATTACCACAAGCTGGGTGGCTTAAAGCAATAGAAATGTATTGTCTCACAAATCTGGAGGTCAGACATCTGAAATCAGCGCATCTGAAAGCATGGGCAGGACCATACTCCCTTTGAAGCCTATAGGGGACAGTTCTTCCTCCCCTTTTCCTGAGCCTGGCCATGGGTGTTAATTCTTGGCCTTTCTTGGCTTGCAGCTGCAACTCTCGCTCTCTCTAATATCTGTCTCATCATCGTGTTCTCTCCCTGTGTCTTCACATCATTTTATAAGGACTCCAGCTATATTGGATTAGGGACTACCCTATCCCATTGACCAGTTGATTCCAACGAGATGACCTTGTTGCATTTGGAAAGACTCTGGTTCCAAACAAGTGACACTTTGACGTTCTGGGTGTTAGGACGTCAGCATATCGTTTGTTGTTGTTGTCCTGTGTGTGCGTGCTTACTTTGTTGTTGAGAGGGACACAATTCAACCCGTAACTGTATGCTAGAAAATTTTCCATCTTTGGTGTGGATGAGAGTACTGTGTTTATCAAGCTGTGGGTGAAAAAGGAAAGTAGTGAATTACCAAAATCCTCCAGTTATTTGTACTACGTTAAACATCTTACCTCTTGTCCTGGAGGCTTCCCAACATGATTAGTGAGGGTGTGTGGTTGACCTGGCAAAGACACCTTCAATTCAGCATGATAATCAGTATCCTCTGAGCCAAAAGTCCCTCTCTGCAAGTTTTAAAATAAGTTAGAAGAGAAGGGGGTGACAGAGGATGAGATGGTTGGATGGCATCACCGACTCAATGGACACAAGTTTGAGCAATCTCTGGGAGATACTGAAGGACAGGGAAGCCTGGCGTGCTGCAGTCCATGGGGTCGCAAAGAGTCAGACATGACTTAGTGACTTAAAAACAACAAGCCCCTGAAAAAAGCTTTCAGTAGAATGTGTAGTCACTCTGGTTAGGTTGACAGAAAAATAATGGGGAGAATTTTCTCAGCATTACCAAAGTGTGGGTGTTTCAGCTTTTTGCTTTGAAGGATCTTACACTAGAGGATGTTGCTTTATAAAATATAGGGATGCCTCGCCTCAATTCTTATAGGTAGCCAGAGGTCAAACACAGAAGTATTTGAATGTATCCTCCAAAAACGTATCCTCAAGAATGCAAAGAAAAGGTATTCCAAATGTTAGGTTTATTCCTGGCAGATTCTTTTTTGATGCTTCTCTTAAATGTTTTGCCATTTGGTTTGGAAAAGTGTTCAGGCATCTTTGCCACCTCATTATGGACTGTTTCCAAGGCTTTTGAGGAGCTGCCATAAACAGCAGATCCAGAGCTGAGGATAAAGCACTTGTTTCATATGGGTTATATCATGCCTGCTAAGAACGGGAACATTAAATGGGCTGTTAAAAAATTTAAGATGCTTGCCAATAATTTTTCAAGGTAGGTGTGTTATATGACTTTTGATTATGTTAAGTTTCATATAGCAAGTTCACATTGATGCAAACAAGAAAATGAAATTGAATGACTTCTTTCAAGAATTATTTGCACTTTACTGCTTGAATCTTTGTTGTGTTAATGAACATCAAAACCCTTGTATCAACATGCAGGTGTGAAGTGCTGCTTCGACATAAATATAGTAAGAGAATGTCTTTATGAAAATTCAAGCCATAGCAGGTGTAATAATAGACAGTGAAACCTTTCTTCCCATTATTCTGGTACTGTAGTTTCCATAAAAAGTGCTAGAGAACATCTGGACAAGCTATAGAAGAAGGAAAAGGCAGAGCCCTCTCTCCCCTCCCTGCTGTTCAAGTTTAAGTGCCTTAGAAATGGTACAAAGCAATTTAGGAGTGCACAGTGTTTAAATCTGAGAACGTTGTCAAAGCAAATCCAGGGATGTCAGAGAAAATGCCTATACGTGGCCAGTTGTTACTAGAAGACAGTTTTTTTTTTAACCTCTCAACTTCAGGTGTCCAACTGCCTTTGAAAGTTTATATTTTAGCATACTAGTGACAATGGGACACATTTTGATTTGTTTTCTTCAAGCTCAGTGTATTTCAGGTTCCAAATCATATCAGCCTTGCCTTCAGCAATAGGAATGGATTGTTTTAAAGATGATTTTTTTTCTCTCAGCAGAGCCTTCTTTTGTGATTGAAATTTCTGAAAATGACCATTCAGAGCGGTTTCCTGGCAGTTTATTATGCAGTTTATCAGAAGTTGCTTTTTACTTTAGGGAGTTGAACAATGTACTTTTAAAAATATATATACCTGGGTTAGAGTGACACTGAGATATCACTGCAGACGACTGGAATGGATGAATCTAAAACACTGGCGAGGATTGTGGAACAACAGGAACTCTCGTTTGTTGCTGGTGGGGATGCAAAACGGTACAGCTGCTTTGGAAGACAGCTTGCAGTTTCTACAAAGCTGAGCATATTTTCACCACACGATCCAGCAGTCATGCTGCTAAGTATTCTTCTAATCAGTTGAAAACCAGGTTCATACGGAACCATGAAGGCAAACATTTGCAGTATAGCACTTTTATTCACAACAGCCCCGAATGGGAACAAGCCCCAAAGTCCCTCGGCAGTAAATGGGTAAACTATGGTACCTCCTGGAGGAGGAAATGGCAACCCACTCCAGTGTTCTTGCCTAGAGAATCCCGGGGACAGAGGAGCCTGGTGGGCTGCTGTCCATAGGGCCGCACAGAGTCACACATGACTGCAGTGACTTAGCAGCAGCAGCAGCAGCATGATACATCCATACCATGGAGTATTACTCAGTGATGAAACCGACGGACACACACATTCTCATCCATGTGCCATAGCCTGGTGCTTAATGTCACAGTGTGAACTTCAGTTAGTAATAACGTACCAGCAGTAGTTCATCAGTTATAACAAATGCATCACACTAGTACAAGTTGTAAACGTGAGTGTGTGGAAGTTTGGGGGAATGATCTGTACTTTCCCATCTATTCTGCAAACCTAAAACTGGTCTTAAGAAAGTGAAAGAAAGTGTTAGTCACTCAGTTTTGTCTGACTCTTTGCAACCCCGTGAACTGTAGCCCACCAGCCTCCTCCGTCCATGAAATTCTCCAGGCAAGAATACTGTAGTGGATAGCTATCCCTCCTCCAGGGGATCTTCCCTATCCAGGTATTGAACCTGGGTCTCTTACACTGCAGACAAATTCTTTAACGTCTGAGCCGCCAGGGAAGCCCTGGTCTTAAAGAAGTTTATTTTAAAAAATCTCTCAAGTCGTGAAAAGACATAGAGAAAACTTAAATGCACGTGGCTAAATAGAAGAAGCCAGTCTGAAAGAGCTGCATACTGTGTGATTCCAACTTTATGACATTCAGCAAAAAGTAAAACTCTAGAGGCAGTAAAAAGATGAGTGATTTAGGATGTCCCTGGTGGGGCAGTGAGTTGCACTCCACCTACCCGTGCAGGGGACACATTTGGTCAGGTTCGATCGAATTCGATCCCTGGTCCGGGAAGATCCCACATGCTGCACAGCAGCTGAGCCCATGTGCCATGACTACTGGACCCGAGCTCTAGGGCCTGAGAGCTACAGCTGCTGAAGCCTGTGTGCCCTGGAGCCTGTGCTCACAGCCAGAGAAGCCACTGCAGGGAGAAGCCCGAGCAGAGTAACGAAGACCCAGTGCAGTCAAAAATAAACAAATAAAAAAGATGCGTGGTTGCCAGGAGTTGGGGAGGGGAAGGGGTGAACATGCAGAGTGCACAGGACTTTTAGGGCAGTGACGCTATTCTGTGTGACCTTGTGATGGTGGGTACTTGTCTGTGTGACCTTGTGATGGTGGGTACTTGTCTGTGTGACCTTGTAATGGTGGGTACTTGTCTGTCTGTGTGACCTTGTGATGGTGGGTACTTGTCTGTGTGACCTTGTGATGGTGGGTACTTGTCTGCATTTGGCAGAAACGGTAGACTGTGTCACCAAGAGCGAACCTTAATGAAGTGTGTTAAGACATTACTGACTGGGAGTTTTTTTTGCAGTAACTGACACCTGTGGCTGGCGATTTGTTATGTAGGTGAAAATTGAAATATCTCTGGTCAGTAACTTTCAGGTGATAAAAGATGTATCAATAAGTCTCTGGCCAATAATGTATAATTAAGTATCTGTATTAGTTCATTAGTTGTAATGAACGTTCCAAAGGAATGAGAGATGTAATAGGGGAAATTCCCGTGGGGTGGTTGGGAGTTCATAGAAACTGTACTTTCAGCTCAGTTTCTCTGTACATTTAAAACTTCTCCAAAAATTCGCCTATTAATTTAAAAAATTAGCAAAAGGTGAAAGGCAATTCAGATTTCAATCTCCATAAATGAAATTCTGTTGGGGTGCACACACGTACATACACACCCGGGGCGCTTTCGTGGGTGCCTCTTCCGCCATAGTAATTGTGGCTGCATCCCCGTCCACACGGGCCAGATGGGAGGATTCCTCCAGGGAGCTCCCTCCCCACCTGTCCTCGAGTCGCTTCCCAGCCACCTACCCGAGTGCACAGCCCAGGTTCTCATCTGTCGAATGAGGGTCACTCGTCTTCCCCTTTCTCTTAAGGTTCTTCTAATTCAACTTGTCACATCCACAGGGAGGTTGTCGATAATCAGAAACGTGGGTTAACTTACGGGATGAATGAGGTCCCACAAAAACAGTGTGGTAGAGATTGGGGGAGGTGGAGCTGATGTCAAACCAGGTTAGCCGCATGGCGATGGATGGAGGTTTTTGCAACTGGAAAAGACCATCGTTGATTTTTTTTTTTTTTTTAGATGCCAGCAGGCAGAGGACTCGTCAAGCCCTTACATGTTTGAACGTAGCAGAGTGTATTGTGCAGTGGAAAGTCTGGGCTTGAAGGCAGAAGAGTGTGGGCTGGCACTTCACCTGTCCGCCCTGGCAGCCGAGGCACTTAGCTTGGAGCTCAGCCCCTCTGCGGCTGATGCGGTCAGATAATGCCCTGCACACCCCCCCCATGGGGCCTGTGCAGCCCTGGAGGGCGGGGAGGGGTGCTCGCCACGCAGGTTTAAATTTGAGTCGAATGAACTGCCAGTTTCAGTCTGTCTTTCGATCCCACTGACTGGTACTCCTTTGACAAAGCTCCTTCCCCCTCTCTGGGTCCTCCTCAGGTTTAGAAACACATGGATCAAAAAGGACCACGTGTCCTCCTAGGGACACATACAGAGTGGCCAGGGATGACCACTCCTGGTCTTTTCTGTGGAGGTCATGGTTCTCTCTTTTGTGTCCTTTTTCTGTTCCTCCATAGTATTAACTCCTGTTCTCACATTTTCTTTGATTTCTCTCTCTTTTTTTAATACTACTCATTGGCTAAGACTCTGGGGCTGGTCATCCTGGGTTTACCAACAGCATCCATGCCCAAACTGCTTTCCTTTTCTGAAACTGAGTTTCCTCATCTGTAAAGTGTGATGAGCACAGTGTCTGCTGTGAGGATTTAAGTACTCAATATGTGGATAAACATCAAGTTCTCTGAACAGTACAGCTGCCTAGAGAGTACTCAACAAATGATCAGCTGTTTTAATTTTTAAAGTAGGTTTAGTTATTTCTTTGCCTGTTTTGGGTCTTAGTTGCAGCACGCAGGATCTTTGGTCTTCATTGCAGCCTGTGCGATCTTTACTGGCAGCATGCTAACTCTCTGCTGTCATCTGACCAGAGATTGAACCCAGGTCCCTATGCTGGGAGCGTGGAGTCTTAGCCACTGAACCACCAGGGAAGTCCTGATGATATCAGATGTCTTTAAACTTTTTACTTTGAAATCATTTAGACTCACAAGAAGTTGAAGAAACAGTGTAGAAAATTCTCCTGAAACCATTGCAGCTTCATCTAATGATGGTATCTTCTATGATGACAATGCTTCCTGAAACCCAGGAAACTGCCCTTGGTACAACACTTTTAAGCACAGACCTTTGGATTTCACTCTTTTTCATGCTGTCTTTTATGTGTTCCTGTGTGTGTGTGTGTGTACAGTTCTATGAAATTTCAGGACACACCTTCATGCGACCACCACCCTAGTAGGATGCAGGATTGTTCAGTTTGCACAAGGCTGTCCCGTCACGGTCACACCTTTTCTCCACCCTCCCCTGGACACCATGGATCTGTTCTCCTTCACTTTTGGAGAATGCCATGCAAGGGGAATCACACCTTTGGCGATCGCTCTTCCACTCAGCGTCATGACCTTGAGATCCATCCAGGTTGCTCGTGGGACAGCAGTCCTTGCCTTTTCACTGCTGAGCGGTGGCCCTGAGTTTGTTCGTCCATTGACTGTTTAAAAGACATCTGGGTTGTTATCAGTTCTTTGGCTATTACAGACAACGCTGCTGTGAAAACTTATGTCCACTTTGTGTGAGCGTTTTTCATTCCCTAAAACTGTGATTGCTGAGTCATGTGTGAAGTGTATGTTTAACTTAAAAAAAAAAAAACTGTCAAGCTATTTTCTCTGGTGGGTGTCCCATTTTACATTTCTACCAGCAATGTAGGCGACCTCCCGTTTCTCTGCATTGCTGTGTTTTATTTTTGCCATCCTCAGAGCCGTGAGGCAGTATCTCACTGTTACTTTAATTTGCATTTCCCTAATGGGTACTGGTGTTGGACATCTCTTCATGAACTTCTTTGTCATCTGTATATTCTCTTTAGTGATGGTCTGTTTTCCGGTCTTTTGCTCCTTTTAAAAATGGGGTTCTTTGTGTTCTTACTGTTGAATTTAATTTAGAAAGTTCATGTGTTCAGCATACAAGTCCCTTGTCAGACTTGTGATTTGCCAATGTTCTCTCCCTTTATGTGGCATCCCCTTTGCAGGATGTTTTTTAGAGTGAAAGTTTTTAATTTATTGAATTTTTCCCTTTATCGATCATGCTTTTGTTATGTCTTCGATTTCTTTACCTAACCCTGAATTATAAAGATTTTTCTCCTCTGTTTGTTCCTAAAAGCTTTATATTTTTATGTCTTACATTGACATCTAGGATCTATTTTGATTTAATTTTTGTTTAAGGTATAAGGTTTACATTGAAATTCTTTCTTTTTTTTTGAGTATGAATAAACAATCATTCAGACACCATTTATTGAAGACAATATATTTCCTCCTTTCAGTTGCTTTTGTGTCTTTGTAAAAAAGATTCATTGGCCATACTGATGAGCTATTTCTGGATTCCTAAATCTGTTGTATTGATCTGTGTGTCTATGCCTCCGCCAATAAATACCCCGCTGTCTTGATTACAGAGTGAGCCTCAAAACAGGGTCCTGTGACTCCGCTCTCTTTATTCTTCTTTCCCCAGATTGCTTTTAGTTACTTTAGTTCTTTTGCCTTTCCCTGTATATTTCAGAAGAAGCTCGTCTTCGTTCAACAAGAAGCGCTTTGCTGAGATCAGCTATTGTTTTAAACACTGTTACTACTTTTCTCATTCTGTACGTGTTTTATTGTCTCACTTTATAGCTCTCATGATTTCCTAGAACCAGAGTGGGCTTTAGAGATCATTTAGCGTGATTCCACTGATTCCTGTGGAGACAGCGTCATCCTTCTTCAAAACAGAGTCGGCACTGGTGAGTGTTCCTGAGATCACTCAGGCGGCTAATGGGCTAAGGGCCGGGGTTCGCGGCTCCTGAGTCTTTTCACGTGAAGGATTTTCAATTTGTCACAAGGCCTCTCCCCTCCTAAACCTACCTCATCTCTTCTTTTTCCCTTACATGGTTCTGCTTTCTTGAAAGACATTATTTTAGAATTTGCTGTTGAGTTCTAAAGATAACATGATCAATGGTATGGAATCCCCTTAGAAACTTGTTAAAACTGCAAGTTCCTATAACTGGGGGTTTTTATTCAGTAAGTGTGGTGTGCCGCTCAGGAACCCACAATTTTTTTTGTTTGTTTGGGTGTTGTTTTTGAACTTTTTGTTTTGTATTGGGGTATAGCTGATTAACAATGGTGTAATAATTTCGGATGAACACCAAAGGGACTCAGCCGTACATATACATGGATCCATTCTCTCCCAGGCTCCCCTCCCATCCAGGTGGCCATATGACGTTGAGCAGAGTTCTCTGTGCTATACAGTAGATCCTTGCTGGTGATCCATTTTGAGTATAGCAGTGTGTGCATGTCCATCCCAAATTTCCTAACTATCCCTTCCCCCAGCAACCATAAATTTGTTCTCCAAATCAATGAGTCTTTGTTTTCTAAGTTCACTTGTATCATTTCCTTTTAGATTCCACATATAAGGGATGTTATTCGATATCTCTCCTTCTCTGTCTGACTTAACTTCACTCTGTATGACCATCTCTAGATCCATCCAGGTTGCTGCAGATGGCCTTATGTCATTCTTTTTAGTGGCTGAGTAAGATTGCATTGTATGTATGTACCTCATCTTCCTTATCCTTTACTCTGTTGATGCACATCTAGATTGATTCCATGTTCCGGCTGTTATAAACAGTGCTGCGATGAACATGGGGATGCATGTATCCTTTTGGATCATGTTTTTCTCCAGATACATGCTCAGGGGTGGGATTGCAGGGTCATTTGGTAGCTCTTGTTTTAGTTTTTTGAGGAACCTCCATACTATTCTCCATAGTGGTGCACCAGTTTACATTCCCACCAACAGTTTTGGAGGCTTCCCTTCTCTGCACACCCTCTCCAGCATTACCTGTTTGTGGATTTTTTTTTGGTGATAGCCTTTCTGGCTGGTGTGAGGGGATATCTCATTGTAGTTTTGATTTGCACTTCTCTAATAATTAGTGATGTTGAACATCTTTTCATGTACCTACTGGCCATCTGTGTGTCTTCTTTGAAAAAATGTGTATTTTAAGTCTTCTGCCCAGTTTTTGAGTGGGATGTTTGTTTTGATGCCATTTGGTGTCGTGAGCTGTTTGTAAATTTTGGAGACTAATCCCTTACTGTTCACATCATTGGCAAATATTTTCTCCTGATCTGTGGGTTGTCTTTTCATTTTGTTTATTGTTCAGGATCGCACAATTTGAAGAGGCACCTCAGTGACCCTGATGAAGGGAGGCTGTGGGCCACACTTGGATCCACCAAAGACTGAGGTCGACTGAGAAGTCACATGACCTTGGAGTCACAGATGCGGGGTCAGCTTCTCACTCGCCTGTTTATTAGCTCTGTGCTTTGGTTCCTTCGAAAGTCAAGATAGTCGACTCTTAAGGATACGGGCCATCGGGAATTAGAATGGCAGAAGCAACAGTCTTGGAGGGTCTCCTCTGCCGAGGAGGTGGTCGGACAGTGTAGTGTGGGCGGGCAGTCTTCTCCTGGGAGAGAGGTGCTGGATACTGGGAGGAAAGATGGTACCATTTCTCACTGTAAAACAGAAGGTTCTTGTTCCAGGGGGTGGCTGCCCAGGGTCTGTGTCTGAGGCATTTAACCATCTCCAGGGACCTCCATGTGGGAGGGAGGTGGGCCCCATCTCAGGTGGAGGCTCAGTGTGTGCACCCCTAATAAAAGTCACAGGTCTCAGGACAGCGTGTCAGGAGGGAAGCAGACCTGTTCACCACTTTCGGATGCCTTCTTTTTAAAAATTAATTAATTTGTTTTAATTGGAGGCTAATTACAGTGTTGTAGTGGTTTTGCCATATATTGACATGAATCAGCCATGCGTGTACATGTGTCCCCATCCTGAACCCCCCGCCCGCCTTCCTCCCCATCCCATCCCTCTGGGTCATCCCAGTGCACTGGCCCTGGGCGCCCTGTCTCATGCATCGAGCCTGGACTGGCGATCTGTTTCACATGTGGTAATATACATGTGTCAATGCCATTCTCTCAAATCACCCACCCTCGCCTTCTCCCACAGAGTCCAAAAGTCTGTTCTTTATATCTGTGTCTCAAAAGATGCCTTCTTCACTTAGAGGTTTTTCCTTCTGGAAGGATTTATATTTTCATTATCATTCAGTTCTAAATAATTTTTGATGAATGAATTATTTGAAAGTTTATTGGTTAATATATA